TTATGATGATGATGATGATGATAATGAAGATCCTGTTTGTGCGCGTGATTCTCGTGCGCAGCTCGATCATTGGCGTTTGATTAGTTCCTTAGTGCTCGCCAAGTGCTGCGGAGCGAGCCACCCAATTTCCCCCTTTGCAAAACAACGAATACACTATGGAAACTCCCACGGTCAGCTAACCCAAACATGCCGCCCGGTTAGCTCAATGGATAGTGCGCTGGACTGTTGCGCGGGAGGTCAATTTTTATTTATTATCAACTGACGAGGTCATAGACGAAACTAGTTTAGAAATTTTCGCAGTAGTGCGTTGAAAGTAGAAGTTAATTGGAGTTTTTCACTTACACGGTTAATCTGCCAAGATTACTTCATCTTTATAATAAATTTAGTTACGTTTTCATTCATCGACATCGCGCGAATTAAGAACTTCAATCTTGGGAATTTTGCTAAAGAAATGAACATCAAGAGTCTCTCCGTATATGAATCTTAGAACACTAAGATACCTAGAAGGAGATTTGGATTTAGAATTCTGTGACTCTGTATGGACTTTCTTGAGACTTAAGCCTCCTTAACTTGCTCGAACAAATGAGTCTGTCAATGTTTATGTAGTTTAAAGTTCTCTCCAGAAATCATGCAACTTCTATCTCAATTAGAAAAAAGGTTAACCCCATTTTGAGATCCCATAAAGTAACCTAGACTATCGAAAACTTTCTTCAAATCTACTAAAAATTCGATTGAGGACGAGTCTTGCATAACAACCTGTGGCCAGCCTCTTCTAGGTGGCATAGCAATGTCTAGCTTTTTCCTCCTTTCCTCATATCTCGGCGACTTGTTTGAACAATTAGAAGTTAGAGCAAGGCATTGACGCAGATACTGAATTTTTCCAATGATCAGATTAGACCGCCGAGATGCTGCGTTCATTCAAACAGCACCGTGACCGCCGATCCATAGTTGGTTTTTGACTGGTATGAAGACAAATATTAATCTTTGTATTCTAAAAACGCGGTACATGTGGGAAGTAAACTGTTACACTCTCTGATGACGGAGGTAAAATTTACATGGTTTTTAGTGTATTCGTTTCTTATAACCGAAAAAAGAGAAATAATTTCAGATTCCTCGAGGAAGTAAAATTGTGCCTAACAGACACAACAATAAAAGAATTCAAACACCATAAACTGGTATACAAAGGAACAGATCATATTTACAATGGTAATTGAACTGAGTGGAGTGCAATTTGGGCTGAAATCACAAGACGATTTCAGACCAAAATTGCATGACACGAGGTTCAGTTACCACTTTATTACATCCCTTTTGAAATCGCCCAAATACAGGACTTGGTCAATTCAAATATTTTACTAATGCAGTACTGAGTCGGTTTTTAAATAAAAGCGGAACCGGAAACACTTTTACATCTTATTTTGTATGCAAAACAGAAAGACTTTGACGTCTGTGTCAAAAACTCAGTCAAGCGTAAAATGATGCGATTGAGAGCAAAAAATGGTGCGATTCGTGAATAAATCGCATCAGTTAGAGCCAATCAGATTACAGGGACCACCAGTGATTTCAAAATGAATGTAATAAATATGGAAAACATTGTTTTTATATCGCAAAGCTGCTATCATTAAAATCATATTGTGCAGATTTTATTTAGACGGTTAGAAGTCAGTATGTTCAGCATAGCTTGAACCATTATAGTCCAGTATGCCCTATATATGATGTCAAATGGGATATGTCGTATTTTATAAGGCTCATTAGCATGCCTATATCTTATTGGATTGACTTTATTAATAAAATCGACTGCGAATGATATCTGCCCCTCTTTAACAGTAGAGAACATCTGATAAAAACGCCTGGCGCCCGTTCCTCGGATGTTCCGTTAGTTGATACTCCCGAAAACCTGTTTACGTTCCCCTGTTTGCTGATTTTTCAATTAAGATAGAGATGTTGGTAATGTTCACACTAAAATTTTAGGAAACTAAACAAAATGGGGTCGTTGTTGAGCCGAGACCCAACATCCCTACATAGTTTGGGGCAAAAGTAAATGAGCGCCCCGGCTGCTTATGTAAATCATGAGCATTAGTGTTTAATAGCTGCTGTTAGCTCGATTCTAACCGTTATCTGCAGTCCTATCTCGACTACAAAGAAAGAGGAGGGACCTAAGCTCATTTCCCGTTCAGAGGTTGGTAATGGAGCCCATGTCTCTCCAGCAACTCAGATCACCTGGTGAGGTCAACTCTTACTGTGAACGGATAGTATAAATCTACATGCCCGGAAGTACTTTTAATCCTGAAAGACAATTTACCCTTGCTCTAACAAGTCCGCTGTCTAGAGAGGGTAGGATTGGAACGGTAACACCGCAACTTGCGGGGTGTGGATATTCCCAACTCTGCCTCCGGTCGTGTTGACAACGCTCAATGAAATTAGGCAACGACTAATTCTCAAGACAATTTTAAAAGTTACAAAGATTCCAAAAATATTCTTCTTTTAAAATATTTATTAAGTTGCAGCTAACCCTTCGACCCCTATGAGTGACCGGCATCTTATTCCTCCTCATAATATCACCTCCAGTTCACGAATTGGGATCACGAGAGTAAAGAAAATGATCACCAGCTTGAGTGACCGGCATCTTATTCCTCCTCATGATATCACCTCCAATTCACGAATTGGGATCACGAGAGCAAAGAAAATGATCACCAGCTTAGTCTTGATTGTTAACCAAATCCTCCTTGTCAGTACCTTAGAAAATCATTAAAGGCTGATAGTTTCTAAAGAAACTGTATGGGGCTGCGTCTGTGGGGGTAACGGAATAATTTAGATATTTCAACAAAGTTGAAATGGTAAATTGGCCACCGTAACGATTATAAAAGCTGACGTTCCGGGCGTTAGCCCTTCGTCGGAGCGAATCAGTTGCGAACACCCTGGAGAAAATGCGTACTTATATCAGGTGAACAAGTCTCTCCACGCAGTTTTCCAACGAAAGACTAACGCTCAAAACACCAGCTCTTGAAGTTATTTCTCCTGGGAATTATTACTACATTGCAGACTTTCAGTCAATAGTCCTATTCAACTGGGAGTTTCACTTTCCCGCCGACACAACACAATAGTAGTCTTTTTAGAATCTTGTAAAATAATAATACTGGGAGTTTTACTTTCCCGCCGACACAACACAATAGTAGTCTTTTTAGAATCTTGTAAAATGACAATAAATATACTTTGATCCAATTAGCAAGAGGTTTCCTCTTGCAGTCTCCCAAATTATCGGACACAGCTGACTGATAATACAGTACGCACAAAACACTTAACGCCACAAAAAAGCTCTCTTTACTGGTTCCTACAAAAGAGGTTACATTTGAAATGACTTAAAAATAACACCTACAGCATAATTAAAATAAACTCAAAACTCTTGCAAGAAACCAAATCACGTCAAAATCTCAATATCGGTTGACATAAATTATTCCATGAATACAGGCTGCACGCTCATGATCAGCAAGAAAACTTCAAGTTAAAATTTGCAGAAAGATTCAGCACCAAGCACCGAGTTCTCAAAGGGGTTTAAAAGATCCTGGCCCTACTGCGGCTCAGTGTCACCATCAGCAGGATTATGATTCTGGTTCTCGTCAGCTCCAGGCTCAGCTGATCCGGCTTTGTCATTTCTCGGTGTTCGGGAAGCAGAACGAGAACGTGATCTAGACTTCTGAGGGGATCGCGACCGAGAACGAGAGCGAGACTTTGAACGTGACTTTGATCTAGACCTTGAGTGCCTAGGTGACTTGGAGCGCGACTTAGAGCGAGATCTCTTACGCCTTGGTGAGCGAGACCGTGACCTGGAACGTGATCGCGAATGCTGGCGACGCGAGCGTGAATGAGAGCGAGACCTGGATCTAGACCTGCTTCTGGATCGTGATCTGGAACGAGATCGCGAGCGTGGGCTTTCCTGAGTATTAAAGAAAATAGGAAAACAAAAATAAGCAGTCGACATTGCAGTGAAAATACATACATCACCAAGAATGCTGTAGCATAGCTGTCTGAAGTGTCTGTTGAAGATGTTACGCACATACTTGTCAGTGTTATGCGCTCTAAATAGTTGTCAATGCTCGTAATTAGGTATGCTAATGTAGACTATAATAAAGAAGTGTACTGTAGTTTGAATTACAATATATTTTGCGCATTTTGAGTGAACATCAAAGTTTTGTTGAACACTACAAATGCAGCGTACAATGACGAGATAAGAGATTTCAGATATCGTTTCTTACGTCAATCAGCCGTATTTTTTTCCCATGCAGTTCGGTTCCGTCCAGTTTCCTCAACGCATTTTTCATGTCTCTCTTGGTCGCAAACTCTAGGGTGCTAAATAAAAGACAAACCAGTTACACTCAATCTTAATAGCCTTCTCTCAAAAACTGTTCTTAAAGACAACCTTCTCGACTGAATTACAGTTGTAATCCAATGTGCTCTTTTAACCCTGTTTCTCTTCCAACAAAAGGTAATGGGTACATATTACACTCCTTATTATTACACTCCTTGCCAAACATCCGCCAGAATATAACTGCATTCAGAAAAAAAGAAAACAAAACTTACCCTTCCCCCTGCCTTTGTTTGTGGGCATCTCCATAGGTCACCTCACCAGCTTGACGTGCATAATCCTTCAGGTCCTGATGAAAAGCAATAATTCATAAGGTAAAATATAACCTCACTAAGTCCAAAAAGTTGTTAACAAACAAATTTTGCTCTGCAATTTCAATCTATAAAACTTCCAAGCAGCTTTCTTCTGCATCAAAAAATTTGTTGCTCCCCATGAAGAACAGACAAAACAGCTTTGCTGTAAATTCATTTCCAAAAGGAATGACTGTCTGTTCTTAATCATGTCAGCCATACAAGGAGGACATTCTGCATTACCCGTTTAGCTATAGAAAATGAGTGGTATTATCATATTCAGTATGAGAAATTGTGATACAACAGTTAATGATTTCAAAGGGGTCCAACATCTTTGATTTACATGTACAATGCACTGGGCACATCATTCATCATGGGCCAAGAAGCGTTTTTGCGTCATGCCTTTGTGAAAATCGTCTCGTCACAACTGTATACATTGACTTCTGATGGCATCAGTGCATCAAAGCCACTCATCCATCAGAGGGGAAGCTTTGAATCATCTAAGCATCTAAGCATCTGTGACTACCCTCACATCAACCCTCGTCACAAGTGCATCTTGCAACTGAAAATATTTGAAGGCAATGCAGTGAATACCAGTAATACCTGCAGTTTTTAGAGCAAATGGTACTTAACCTTTTGACTAAACCCTTTCCATTGCAATAAAAAATACCAACATGAAACTCCAAATTCAATATTAGAACTAACAATCCTGGCTACAGGTATCCAGCCTTTGTAAACCAACCTCAACACGATTTATGATAACGATATTTGAATATTGTAAACTCAGCCATAAAAACATTTGTTAATTTACCAAAATATAAGGAGGGCAACAACATGTATAGAACCATTCCTGACTAACTCATCTAAGTTGATAAGGTGAATTTCACTGTACATACACATGTACTGTATGTGCTGACAAATCTAAATGAGCCCAAACAAAATATCAAGTTTTCAACTTTTTAACTTGTGAACTGCCAAACCAGAATCAGTTCAGATTAAGGTTAAAACTGATCAGCACTTATACATTTCATTCACCTGATCAACTCAAAATAGTAAAAAATAACCTTCTTTAAAAATTGACTTTTACTTCTCACTAACCTGCCAACTAATTCGAGTTGATAAGTTTTCAACAGTGATTCGCCATGGTGTCCTTACAGGTGGGCCATACCTAACAACATTGTAATACAAACAACCTTGGTTTGTACGGATGATGTAAAACCATTACAATAATTATGATAGATTACTGTACGTATGATGCACGACCCTTCGCAGTAGATAGCGCTATTATGCAATAGCGAAAATCAGACCTGAAAAAAATCAGGCCTGTACGGGATTTGAACCACTGACCTCTGCGATACTAGTGCAGTGCTCTACCAATTGAGCTGACAAGCCACTGGGAGCAGGCCGTTAAGTTGATTTGTAAAGATTAACCCCAAACTTAGCAACCTTGTCAAGCCAAGCCAAATACTTGTTTATAAGAAGTACAAAAAGGTTGAGAGTTAACAAAACTTGTGATGGATCTGAGAAAGTTTCATGGTTGCTCTGGCAGTGAATGCAAATGACGAAAAACTCTCACCAAAAGTCATAATCAAAGGTGTTCAACAGTTAAATGTCAACAGGCCACCAAGGATGCAAGTTTCACTGCACAAAAAAGGCTGGATGGACAAAGAAAGTGGGTTTTATCTCCACAAAGTTAATTCAGAGAAGGAACTTTTTGAGCAAACCACACAAACACAATTCTAGGAATTTGAAATGAGGTTCAAACGATTGTTTTGTTGTCATGGATATCATATTAATGAGCATGTGCTGTTAAGAATGTATGCAATTTTCTGTTTGTTTGCTTTTCTGTGGAAGTTGATTAGTATTCTAAAAGCAGTATTCCTTTTTAATCCATAGAAATAAAGGATTGGATCCTACATGATCTTCGCTACACCTTGAACCAAAAAGCTCTACTCCAGGGCGTAAAATTGCACCTAATACAGACGCCAATGCGACTAAATTTTTCACTTTGGTGACCAAATCCTGAAAATTAGTCAGCAAATTGGCAACTAGAATTTCTAATCACACCTTACCTAGAGATCTAGTGATTGTTGAAGATTTGTAAAGATAAATCTGCAGCAAAGTTCCTCTTTAAGCTCGTTTCTAAAACGTAGCACATGCACGATGTTGAACTAGATGCCATCTTGGATTTAGGTAACCTATAATGTTGTATATGATCCATTCTAGTGTCCTCTTTGTAGCTTGTGCAAATTTAGCAGGCTTATTTTTCATGTTTGTATGACTGTATCACTATGATATGATAATCTATCTAGTACAGTGACAGGATAAAAAGTTTTTTTTTGTGTGTGTCATAATGGCCACCAACTTTTTGGAATTGGCTACCACTTTAAAATATTTAGGAGCCAAGTGGCTACCGGAAAAAAAAGTTAATTTTATGCCCTGTACTCATGTGGGATTTGTTTTGTGGTCATTTGATGGCAGCCGTTTAAGAAATGGTTCCTTCAGAACCACCACAACCACTCTTTTCAGAGCTACCCCAGTTCTTTTCAGAATCACCAGATCTAGAAAAGTCAATGATCAACAATAAGTGTCCTTTTCTTGTCTTTTTAACTGTAAGTTCTGTTAAAATTGTTATCTTAAGATTTAGTTGGGAAAAATACTTGGCTACAAGATGCACCTCAATTTCAGCACTAACTTTCTACCCAAAGACAGAATTTTCTTGAAAAAAACCATGCATCTTATAACTGAGAAACTAAGGTATGCATAAATTTTGCATTTACTAGAACATTTATTTTTAGTCACTATCCTCAGCAAAATAGCAACATTAATAAGAAAAAAATAAAGTCTTTCATATAATATGAAAAAGATAATTTCTTGTGTTATTACTTGGATACACAGATGAGATGCTGACAGCTACAGTAGCATGTATAAAAAGCTAAACTGATCTAACTTGTTGCAAAATTTCTCAGAAAGAAAAAACAATCCCCTGAGGAAAAATGTTCCCCACATCACCACCGTGATTCTTAACCCATTGACACTTACGTGTAACATGTGCCAACGAAAAGTCAAAATTTTGGAGAAACCAAGAAGGCAAACACAAAGCGCAGTAAATTTTTAAAAATCAGCTTTTCCAAAAAACAAGCTCCAGTGAAAGAGGACTAATTAGAGAACTTATTTCCGGCGAAAAAAGCGATAGGTGCATATTACGTTTTAACTCAAAAATCAAGATGAAAGATAAAAATCGCTAAATATTTTCGCATGTGTGAAAATAGGCATGTGGATCATATTTCAAAAGGGAATATGCAAATTTGTCCGTGAGTGAAGAGATCTCAAGTTTCATGGAATCTATCAATAGGAAGCAAGACTAAAATGGCCAAGAAATATTTCGGGACGTCAGATTTATTCAAAACAGTTTTTGATTTACTGTAATAAGCGAAAAACGTACGAATTTCTTACGTGTAAAAAGCCCACGCGGTAAAATTCATCATGCTTGGATCGTTGTTTACTTGCCTTCGTGGCCAGAAATTGCGCAGCGTTATGGTGAAAATTCTGAAAAAACTTCGATTTGAGGCAAAATCTTCTATTAAACTATACTTTTTGAACACATTGTTACTCAAACATAATATTTACCGGGCCATCGAATCGTCAAATTGTCGCCAGGCCCTGCTTGAAGTCCGAAAGTTCGGTTTTCACTTTACGTCCATAATTCGCATCGCCTTAGAGAATCGTAGTGTCGTTGACTTGAGAGCTTATTCTGTCACTTTTAAGACCTGGATATCCATTCTTTTCCAAGCAGAGTATTCTATAACATTGTTACTTTACATTCTGAATTCCACAANAAAAAAAAGCTCCAGTGAAAGAGGACTAATTAAAGAACTTATTTCCGGCGAAAAAAGCGATAGGTGCATATTACGTTTTAACTCAAAAATCAAGATGAAAGATAAAAATCGCTAAATATTTTCGCATGTGTGAAAATAGGCATGTGGATCATATTTCAAAAGGGAATATGCAAATTTGTCCGTGAGTGAAGAGATCTCAAGTTTCATGGAATCTATCAATAGGAAGCAAGACTAAAATGGCCAAGAAATATTTCGGGACGTCAGATTTATTCAAAACAGTTTTTGATTTACTGTAATAAGCGAAAAACGTACGAATTTCTTACGTGTAAAAAGCCCACGCGGTAAAATTCATCATGCTTGGATCGTTGTTTACTTGCCTTCGTGGCCAGAAATTGCGCAGCGTTATGGTGAAAATTCTGAAAAAACTTCGATTTGAGGCAAAATCTTGTATTAAACTATACTTTTTGAACACATTGTTACTCAAACATAATATTTACCGGGCCATCGAATCGTCAAATTGTCGCCAGGCCCTGCTTGAAGTCCGAAAGTTCGGTTTTCACTTTACGTCCATAATTCGCATCGCCTTAGAGAATCGTAGTGTCGTTGACTTGAGAGCTTATTCTGTCACTTTTAAGACCTGGATATCCATTCTTTTCCAAGTAGAGTATTCTATAGCATTGTTACTTTACATTCTGAATTCCACAAGGTCTAACTCAATCGCAAATGAACGAAAAATCCAACCTGAAAATTTTGAGGGTCGGCCGCGTGGATGCCATATTTTCAAATTTGATCATTTAGTGAAGACGCATAGAGTAATGCCCCTCTAGTACCCCCTAAAGTCAAAAAAATATATGTGCAAACAACGGATTCTGATTGGCTTATTGATCTCCCAAACTATAGAGGAAGTTTGGGGACAAAACTCCACTTAGTATGGGAGGTAGGGGGGAAAGCGTTCTCGCGCGAGGCGATCGCGAGGTTCGGGCGGTTATGGGTGGTTCAGGTGTCAATGGGTTAAACTTGTTTCTTTTGTTGACTTTCCCAAATTACAATTTTGTTCCTTGGATAAGACTACTTTTAGGAAAGGAAAGGGTTGGTTAAAAAGTACTCAAATGTACTCACTTATCTCTAGCTCTTGACTTGCGACCACTACTGAAGCCTCGGGCAGTTCCACGAGAATGTTCCACCAGAATTCTGAATGTGAAAGGAAAATAGATCAGGTTGCAAGTCCCACATTCAAAATATAGACCAAACTGTCTCTCTACAGCTAAGAAATTGTAGCATTTTCAAGAAACCAGCCATACTCCTTTGCAGATATACAGTACAATAAACAATGTTCCATGTAACTCAATTGGCTCACCTTTCTCCCATCATTTCTCTGCCATTGCATTCATAAACTGCATCATCTGCATCTCTAGGGTCCTCAAATTCCTGAAAAATACCTGACCATTCAGTAAGTTTCCTCTTAACTCCTTGGAGATTAGCTATTTAGCAGCTCTGATAAATTCTACAGCTGTACATGCCAATGGCAGGAGTGTGTTTGACTGAAAAGAGAATGGCATCTGTAACACGACTTTTATTCACATTTAATTTACATAGAATAACCTGAAAGGATACCAAACCTGTCAGATAGCAGAAGTTGAAAATGTTATTTACTCTTCATGCTATGGGGCCAATATGCCACTGTAACTAAATCAACTGTCGAACTTCAGTCGCATATTCGACTGGATCACTCGAATATTCGATTGAACTCGCATTTAATACAACTCTGCCGAATTTCATTGATTTAAACGTCGCAATTTACATGCACTTAATTCGGCAATTAGATTCGGCGCATGTAAAATGCGACGTTTAAACCGGGCCTTACTTGTATAATTTGTACCAAACTTCACTCGAAACAATGGATTACCTTACTTAGCTAATAACGCAACAAAGAAATTACGTTTATGCAATTATCATCAACAAGTACTTAGCTTTGAAAATATCAAAATTTACTTTGATGATGTAAGCCAATCATCACAAAAGTCTCTCTCCAAAACCCAACGAACTGCAGTAATTCAATCAAAAATATGCGGCGATTGGTGTGTGAAAACGAACAATGCATTTTGTTCAAAACTGCATTGTCAGTGTGATAATTAAAGATGGAGACAAGAAATAGAATACGAATGCCTTACCACAAATCCATATCCGTTCTTCAAGTTAACTTCGCGCAGTTTTCCGTAGCTGCGAAAGAATTTATCAACGTCCTTTTCCCTCGTGCCATAGGGCAGTCTTCCCAGGTAAACTCGGCAGCTCATCTTTAAAATGCCTCAAATATTAACCAAATCAGTTTGGATAGCTTTAAAAAAAGTTTTCGAGCCTGTTCCTGGTAAGGTAAAAGCTATTCCAGTTCCAACAAGAGTAGCAACGAGAGCAAAATTTCACACTGCGCCGTCGAAAATAGTGTCTTCGAAGCCGTAAAGATGGCGGCTCAGCAAAGAATAGCTGTTCACGTAACTCGTCACCTGATTGTTGCCTGCGCAACCCTTTGCGTTTTATCCGCTGACCAAAACTTTTTTCTTAAGGAGCTTAGAAACCAAGCTGTATTTAGTAACCAAGCCTCCTGGTGGTTTTCATAATTATGCATAGTTATAGACAGTTTTTCACCATCCGGACCCCTTTAATTCAGTTTTTTTACGATAGGAGATGCCCTTATCAGGTCAGTGTTCGGAATTCCTGCACCATTGACAGTGTAACCCTGTGATTTTCACGGAAAATCGTCGAGATCGTGGATGCCACAAAATATAGAAATATTGTTGAGCATGTTAAAAATCAGGTGTACCTCCGGGTTTTTCTAATGACTGAAAACCATGCACAAACAATACACTTCCGCCGGTTTTCAGAGTGGGTTCGTTTTCAAAAAATCTGCAACATTGGCAGCTTCTCCTGTGTCCTACAAACCACATGAGGACACCTTATGTTGACAACACCACACAAACCGAGACCTTTAAGACATCTGAAAGATGTCCTTCGATTCTTACCGAAACATTCTCGTCAAACAGGAATTCGCAAAAACAGACGATTCAATCTCCGATAGAGGTATACTCTGAAGAGTAAACATTTTTCACGAACATCATCGTCACCATTCAAAGATACAATATCAAATTGCTAATTATGCATTCTATGAAATATGTTTGTATCGGCGGTAAATATGGCAGCCAACCAGCCTGCAACGGAACAAGGGCACTTCCGTTTCTGCCAAACATGTCAGCTTTAGAATTTACGGTGGCTAACTCAGTTGATAAAAACAAGTCATCTTGCAACGGAAGACGGTTCGTCAGGATGGTTTTGTGTGAGATTTTCAGTTTCCATCAAATTTTCATCCCAGTTTTTCGGTTTTTAGGATAATGTTTTCGTGCAGTTTCAATTGCATTTTCTACAAGATCACGTTTTCGTGCAGTTTCAATTGCACTTTCTATAAGATCACAGTGCTCCCTCGTTCTTTCATTGGAGTTCTTACCCCTCCTGCTCCTTCTTTTAGAGGCGAACTGAGTATGGCACATACGACAAGACCAGCTTCTTGTAGTCTGCTCAACTATGTCCTTTTGATCGGCACTGGAGCAGAGGTGATAAACGATTGCGACAACACTGATTCAGGTATGCAAGCCTATCCTGACATCTATTATACCTTGGCCTCAGATGAAAACAGTTTTAAAATCGAGTCAGCTCTATATCCTCTAAAGAAACCTTCATCTGTTCGTGTATTTGTGAATTTGTATGGCAAAAATGGATCCAATAGCACAGACAATTCTACACCCAACGTGACTAAGTACACGTGGAGTTTAAACTGTTTGTATGCTGCTTTTCCTGCTGTTTTCCTCGAGATCCTGTCCCTTGGTTCAATAATTGTGACTCCTCGTACACAAGAACTAAATTTAAAATTTCCACATTTTTGTTGTAAAGTTCCGACGAGAGACAGGAAAAGGATGACGGAAGATTTGCTTGCTGCGGTAAGTCGTATTCTGGATGAACTCATAATTGCACCTTGCATTCCTCCTTGTTTTCCTATCTTCCAACTTAAACAACTTTTCCTAATTTCATTTTATTAAACTTATAAGGTAAAGAAAGGATCCTTGCAGTTTCCCTGCTATCTCAGACTTCTACGAGACTCGAAGTCGTACCCCCAGATATTAGGGAACTTAAGCAGATCACGACGGCGACGGCAATGAGGACGTGGAAAAACAAAAGATCTAATTGGTAGCACAATGGCTAACCACGTGCGTTTTAAAGCTTTGTACATTTCTTAGTCGTACTTTACAAAACAACAACTTGTGTCGTCTGCGAACGGAAACCGTGACGGCAAGTTATTTAAATTTCCATTAGGAACTCAACGCTACTTTTA